TTGTTCCTCCTTTTTTTTTGGGTGGTTCTTTTTTTTTTGTTTTTTTGGTTTTTTTTTTTTTTTTTTTTCTTTTGCTTAAATCGTATTTTCATTCAGTCATACAAACGAGGTGCGCTTGTTAGGGATGGGGCAGAATGTGCCAGTTTGCTCTTGCTTGCTTCTGTAAAGGGAGCCAGAGAAGTCCAGAAACAGGCTGTGTGGAGAGGCTTGGTGCATTTTAGGCTGTAAGGAATTCCTGGTCCAGCCGGGTCTCAAGCCACTGCAAACACACTTCTTGTTTTGGTATTTTCATTCAGTCATACAAACGAGGTGCGCTTGTTAGGGATGGGGCAGAATGTGCCAGTTTGCTCTTGCTTGCTTCTGTAAAGGGAGCCAGAGAAGTCCAGAAACAGGCTGTGTGGAGAGGCTTGGTGCATTTTAGGCTGTAAGGAATTCCTGGTCCAGCCGGGTCTCAAGCCACTGCAAACACACTTCTTGTTTTGGCATCAAAGTCAGGTGGAGATTAAACCATAAGGGAAGGAGAAAGGAGAAGTGGTGAAGGTCACTGCCTGTGATAATGTAGTGTGTCCTGATGAAGAGCTTCTGTTTTTATTTTATCTTTCAGTTTGCTTTCTGGACAGTGATGATTTGAATTTTCTTGTTACTCTATGTAACATGTTTTTTAATTTGTATAAATTGTGTTTCTTTTCTGAAGTTGCGGTTCGTGTGTTTCTAATGTCTAAATATTCTTAGACAAATACCTGAACAAAATCAGTCCTAATATATGGGCGGGGGAAGCGTGCACTGAATTTTAATTTATCACCAGTCCTGAGTTGGAAGGAAGACAGCTTCTGTTATCTGTTGGGCTGCTTGACATTGCAGAAAAGGGGTCTTTATTTAAATAACTTAATTTGATTGCTTGAAAGTTTACAAGACTGGGAGTGATTTAGTAATGGTATATATCTTTGATTTTAGCAAGCTTGTGATTGATTACACTTTAGTGGGTAGGTATGGCTTATTTTTGTTTGTTTCTGGGAACTTGCATTTTGTTTTAGCCACTGTATAAAACTTTGATTTCTCAGAAAGTATTGAGTGCAGTTTTAGGGAATGGGATGCATGAAAACAGATTTTCCTTTTTCCCTTTAAAACATTGAACAGATACTCTGCTTTTTAATACTTTAATAAGAGGTCTGAAATCTGACTTACATTTCTAGGTACGTTTTAATTATCAGTGAAGATGGATATCCGAGGTGCTGTAGATGCTGCTGTCCCAACAAACATCATTGCTGCAAAAGCTGCTGAAGTTCGGGCAAACAAAGTAAACTGGCAGTCCTACCTCCAGTAAGTAAAAACTTTCCACAATTTTTTTTTTTTCCCTTCCCTTGTAAGTGTTAGACTTTTGGGGATTTTGGATTAAATTGGAACATTAAGTTACAGTGAGGAACATTCTGTCTTGGTCCCATGAAAATAGTTGGAAAATGGTCTACATTAAATGGACGTGGATTTGGAAAATTTTTTATGACTATTACAAGACAGGGAACTCTACTTCTGTGAACTGCATGCTGTAACAACAAATAATGTGTTTGCACAGATGTGTGGTAAGACTGTCTATTTTTTTTCTCCTTATCATTCAAACACCATTCTCAATTTTATCCGTATTGGACGAGTACTGATGTAAGAAAAGTTTACAGTATGAGATGTCTTATGTGGGTATGTTGCCTCTATCGCTGAAGTGCCTTATGTGTGAATACAAATTGTACTAGCAAAACTGGACTGGTAGTCCAGGAAAATAAGCTGTACCTCAACTAAAAGAAGGATAGTGCTGGAGAGCAATTGAAACAAGTAAATCGGGGAGTAGGCTGAAGCAAGTGCTTCAGCGTGGGGAGTAGGCTGTGCTGCCATTTTGGACAAGCTCAGAGTTTACTTTGGAAGGTACATAATGGCGCTGGGAGTGGCGAGAGAAATATTGTCCAGAGAACATATAGGGACAAGCTGAGCAAAATAGATTTGTGCATGAGGTAGGGAACAGGGAGAGAAAACAGAATTGTACTAGTCCTCTGTACTGTGAAGTGAAGCACAGGATTCTTGCATCCTTGCATTCCTCGTGATGGGTACCTATGAAGGATATTGGCAAAATGTAAATTAGTATTATCTCTTGAGGACCCACGTATAATAGCAAATTACTTCAGTGCTCGTTGCTATGTAACTGAAGTAGCAGAAATCTTGATGATTGTAGAGGTACAAGCCATGCTGACGATGCTTTGTGATTATTGTTACACCACTTTGCAAAAGATATTTTTTTGAGATAGCTGTGATATATAAATATATGCTATATATTAAAATAAGCTTGAAAAACTACACATGCAAGGTGAGAAATGCTAATGTGGTAGAATCTCATTAATGACTACCCGCTTTGCCCTGTGCTGTGTGGCTCAGTCTTGCTATTCCATTCATCCAGTTGTGTTATTTTTTTCTCTCTGTGATTGTATATCTACATGGTAAACTGGATTAAGGAACTGATCTGTTGAGGAAACTTCCTTTTTCTAGACTATTTTTTTCAGATGTGTCAGTTCCTCATTGAATTTGCAGTGTGACATGACAGTGGCTTTGCAGGCAAAAGAGCAAAGTTGGTGTGATAACTCGACAGTGGCAGCTACCAAGTGTTTGTCAAACAATCTAAATGGCTTTTGCTGTTACTATGTGCCCTGTTATCCATCTGATAGGAAGCGTGTCCTGGGGAAGCCCGGGCAGCTGTTCTGTGCTGTTCTAGTGGCAGGTGAACAGACAGTTTGCAGTTATTCAGGATGAAAGTGGGAGTAGAATTGTTCACTGTCAATCTAAGTGAATATGGGGTAGTCTTTTCTGCTTCACTTCCAGTCGTTCAGGCTATAAGACTGGTGAAATTCACCTGTTGCTTTTGTCAGTGGAGGCAATGGTTCTGTTTGGCAAGGAGTTGTAGTTTGAATACATATGTAGTACGAATTGCTTGACTGTACTTTATGTGATCTGCTATTTATAATTTGCCTTCATTCATGGGGTTCTCTCTCTCTGGTGCTGAATAAGGATGGGGGAGTTTTGTTAATTTATCTATCAGCAAATTTCTATGTAACTTCTGACCAGGAGGCAGGATTGATGGTTTCAGATTCTAGATGTAGAATTTAAGTTTGTTTTGTTCTGGAATTCATGAAAGAAGAATGTACTGGACAGGCTGGAGAGTTGGGCGCAGAGGAACCTGATGAAGTTCAACAAGGGCAAGTGCAGGGTCCTGCACCTGGGGAGGAACAACCCCATGCACCAGTACAGGCTTGGGGGGGACCTGCTGGAGAGCAGCTCTGCGGAGAGGGACCTGGGTGTCCTGGTGGATGACAGGTTGACCATGAGCCAGCAGTGTGCCCTGGCTGCCAAGAAGGCCAATGGGATCTGGGGGAGCATTAGGAGGTGTGTGGCTAGGGGGTCGGGGGAGGTGCTCCTTTC